CGTGCCGCGAGATAACGTGTTAAAAATCGCTGGTGTTTCTCTGGTAGACGTGGAAAGTCCGCTGCGATTGATTACTCCGAATACTCTCTCCTATGGAACACTGATTTTCAACCTGCATCCCTCGAGATTTTCTCCGGTATGCCCAAAATTTTTTAATACAAATTAACACATTGCATACGACACTCTGCTCGCTCAACGCGCTTCCAGGGCTCGCACATTTTTGAACGCTCGAAAAAAACTTTGTGCAATGCATATATGCACTTTTTTATTTTTCATTGATGAAGTATTCTTAAATATTACTACATGTTTCTTATACATCTATTTAGTATGTAGGCTTTTTTACATTTTAATCAGGGCTGTAGTGGAGGGTATACGGCGGTATACGGCGTGTACCCTGTGGTTTGATCTGAGCAAATAGCGTACACCCTGTGCTTATTAAAAATTTTAAAAGTTTTGAGACATTAAATTTTTGAATATTCACATAAATATTTTTAATTGTTTCAATTTGCTTTTAAAATGATAATTTTTTACTAAATACCCGACTAAAACATTTTATTTTATTTTTTATTTAAGCAATATTTAAAATTTCTTTCAACAAATAATACAATGTATGGATTTCTATAACTATACATAGTATACCATATACAGTAATGTCTCCACAAGTGTCAGTCCGCAAGGAACCTAAATCTGACACTTGAGGACAGCGAATAAAAGATAAGGATGAAACGTGAGTCGAGGTAACCAAGCGATTTAAATACCAACTTTTTTCATTTTACGTTTTTTTATCCCGAAATTTTTCTTAACATATTGATGAGATTTTTCTGATGAAAATGACATCAAACACGACATAATTTGAACAACATTTACTTATTAACACGTTCACTGTCACGCCAGATATTTCACTGTATTGAGATAAAACAGACGCCCTGTATTACATTACATAGGGTCGGCCTACCGTTTGACTGCCAGTTGAAGAATTGGCCTGCCGTTTGACGGACACTTGTAGAATCGGCCCTACATTTGACCGACACTTGTAGAATCGGCCCTATATTTGACTGACACTTGTAGAGTCGGCCCTACATTTGACTGACACTTGTAGAATCAGCCCTACATTTTTTTACGTGGAGGTAGGTCGACATTAAATTAATTACTCAATAAGTATTAATAAATAAATGTTGTTCAAATTATATCGTGTTTGATCTCATTTTCATCAGAAAAATCTCAGCAACATGTTAAAAAAAATTTCAAATGAAAAAAAGTAATTGTTGTTGCTGTAAAAAAAGTTGTTATTAAAAATTTAGAAATTGTGGAAAAATAATAAAATTCATAAGCAAGAAAAATTAAAGAGGAAAAATAATTTTAAGAAATTCAGTCGATTTCAGTGTGGTATTCGGAGAATACCAGATGCATTGGGGAAAGTAATCAACTCAGTTTGTAAAAAGAAACACATTGCACGGGGAATATCCTATACACCAAAGAGAATAATCAAACTTTTTTCTATAAAATACATAGCAGTTTCATTGGTAATACAAAGGAAACATACCACCAAAAGACATTTTTACTACTTCTTATTGAAATTTGGAGTTTCTACAGTAAATGGTAATTTTTTTATTTTGCACGACGTGTATACACGTCGGACGCAGTTAACTGGCTAAAGGTGAACAAAATATTGCTCTAAATTTCTCCAAAAAACTAACGTACATATTTCAACATACTTACACGGAGAAACAAACACGAGACAGGGCCCCGAATTTAGTCCAATATCGTCGACGTGCGTAGATCCACAAAAAAAAAAAGAAAAAAAGAAGCAACAAATGGGAGACAAAGAGACGCAGAATTAGCGAAAGGAAGGGAAGCAAGGACGTGATTAGCCAGTATCCTTTAAAGGCGATCGAATTACTTAGCGCGCGGAATTCCCCGTACGGGACGATTTGTAGCAGTAATCCAGGCTTACGGTTCCCGGTGCTTGGATGCGCTTTAATATGATTTAAACCTACCACCGTGTTTGCTACCGTGTTACGATCGTCGAGCTCTTACTGGCTACACACGGGCCTTCCAGGAGAGTCCTTGAGAGGAGAGAGAGAGAGCTCGATGAAGCGGGACAGCGACACACGCGTGCGTACACGCAAGAAAGTGGCGTAAAATACGTAGGCGAGGGTACCGGTTTTTTTCCGGGGCCCAACTACTACTGTTCCTCTTTGAATTTTAAATCTTTCTCGCTACCGAATGCAATTAAGCCTTATTCACTGTGGCCGAGCGAAAAAGAAAAAAAAAATTGAATTCGTCGTGACGCGCGCATGCGCGATTAAGTTGCATCGAACAGCGTGTGTAGCTGCCCTTCAACACCTAACCGTATATAATTATCTATCGGTAGACGAGCCAGTCAGCCATCCCTTTCTCTTCGTGTGCAACACACGCGTGTCTCTATGCGGACGTATAAAGAATTTACTACTCGACGTAGTAACGCAGCTTTCCATTCAACCGTTTCTTTCTATTTCTTTCTCATCGATCGATATGTCCGAAAAATTGGTTTCTTCGAAATTGAAAATTCCACGGAGAAAATATACACGTTTCTATCTTCGCGACACGTGTTTGCACTGTGCAAAGTCAGCGCCGCTCACGTGCTACGGCTGAGACAATTCGCGAGTGACACGAGTTGCCTTTGTTTTCTCTGCCTCCGGTCTCTCGCTTCTTCTTCTGCTTCACCTCCTTCTCCCACGTTCATTTCCTCTCTAGTTGTTGCTCGGCAAGCAAGCGTGGCGATCGCTTTGAGCTAGCCGCCGGCGCGGCGTTTTCCAACGAGTCACGGGGCGACGCGCCAACGAGATACTTCACTGCGATCCGCGCCTCGGCAAAAGTGACAAGGCCCCGGCAATTATAACGGGTGGCGCAAAAAAAAAAAACAAAACGGCGCCTCGTCCACTCTGACCGCTTCTTTCTTCTTCCTCTCGGCCAGTACGCGCTCAGAGACATGCAACATCACCCGCGGAGCCTTTCTCCGATACCGCTTCATTCTCGTAGGATTGTCGCGCTATTCTCCACCATCTTGATAAAATGTATACACGTACGTACGTGTACGTGTAATTCCACCGAGTTTAACCGATCGAGAACGTAACAATTCGTATTCATCGTTGGAAGCTACGAATTTGCCTCCGATTTAACGTCGTGTTAAATTATCGATTCACGTGTAACGAGATCGACGAACGGCGTGCTGTAATGAATCGCAGGGAATAACGACGAACATTGAATTTTCATCTCTGGCCATCAATCACGAGAGCAGCGAATCAATTACACGCGATAAAAATAGATGAAATTCAAACCGGCAATTTGTACGTACGGCATCGTTGTACAACCTCTAATTACAAAATTGCATTACCATTTACTTGCCAGGGTCGATCAACTTCATTCCCAGCTTCTGGAGAGACTCGGAATGAATTATGAAGAACAATAAGTAGCCTCGTAATGGAGGATGATAACCTGATATTTGCATTGGGAATTACAATGCTTTCTAATTACATATATTCGTAAGATCGTCCGACGGAACGAAATCGATTGGAAAATCTGACGTTAAGTGAGGTTATACGCGATTACGGTTGACTATGCGTGATACGCAATTAGCAATTACCGATATCGAAAGCAGTAAAAACATATTTTTGTGAAAAAATGATTTATCGCTCGCCTTGCTGATATCGTTCAGATGCTGACATCTAGAATCCGCGTATCGGAGGTACAACGTTTCGTTGTTTGCTGTTAGATGGCGGTGGAGTAGTGTACATAGTGTTCGGTTGCCGGTAATATTTTTTGCATACAAAAAAGATTGTTGACTTGGGAATAAACTTTTTGTTAAGATCGTTTAAGAGGTCCGTTAAATGTGACGCGTAGTTGTGGATTGTGTCGCGACCTTCTAGGTTGAAACAGAAAGGAAAAATTTTAGACCTGTAACTTGCTGTACAGGAATAACCCAACAGGTAATATTCGCACGGATTACTTCGTTTCCTTGTATCGTAGAAAGAAGTGATAATTACGTTGTACGTTTTCTGTTACGTTCCTATATGAAATTTCGCGTATTTATGGGTACAAATAATAATTGAATATTTTGCACGTTGTACTTTTGGTATATCGTTCATAGGAATAATCGACTGATTTAGACATTTTTCCCGCCATTTGGCGCTGCACGCATGCACTTCTGGAGAAAGCGTTCTGATTTTATATTGTTTAATTTCTGTGAAATTAAATTTTCTGCTGAAAATCATAGTGAAACTTTAAGTTGTTCATGTTTCTCTGTAAATTGTCTTATAATGGAGCAAAACATAAAGCGTAAAAAAGTTACGAAAGAATCGATCGTCCACGATATTGCCTCCGCTGTTAGTAAGTGAATGTTTTTTTTTGGTAAATAAAGTTATTCAGTTAGCAATTATGTTCATATATTGTTACGTACATTTTCCGGGTTAGTTGGGCAGTTTATCGAGGTGCACGTTATATTTTTCAATTATCTACGTTACAAATGAAAATAGGGTTATGTGTCTGATTTGCTGAAATTCATAAACACCTGTTGCAATATTTTTACGACACAACTTTTTAGGTGGAATATCCGAATCACTTATATCTATGAATGAGAGTTATAGAAGTCTTTTAAAGGTTAATAGAGCACTAGTATTATTCATACAAAACACTAAGAAACAGCAGAATCTGGATAACGTACAAAGTGACTTGGAGCAAGCAACGATTGTTGAAGAAGAATCAGAATAACAGTAATATTGTACATTTTTTTTTTTTATGATACAATTTTTCTAATGCTTTACATCTAAAAGAATAATTAATAGATGTGCATATATTAAAATATTCTTCATAAATTAAGGAAATAATACATATTGAATAATTGTATTTTCTTATATCACAAAGTCTTTTGATATATAAAAATACATTCACTTATATCCTGTAATAGCAAATTAATATTATCACACAAATACTGTAGTTACATGTTGTAGTGAAATGGCACGAAGGTGAAAGATTGGACAATAAACATCTTTCATTAAATAGCTGTCTTATAAGTCTTGTAATTTAGTCTATAGTTCTTTATCCTTATTTATATTCTGGGTCAGGCTTAGGTTTTCTCCTAGGATCTGAAGCATCTAATGGAATTATTACAGGTGGTGTACTGTCTGATTTTTGTGTGTGTGCAAATCCATAATCGGCACCCTTTGATGGCTGAAACCACGTCCTAGACAGTGGTATTTGTCGACATCTGAAACATATTTTTCAGGATTGGAGAGAAATAAATACACCATATGAGTTGTCGAATCCAGTTATTTAAAGAAAGCGCTAAATTGTTTTGTTTCTAGTTTATAACGTTCTGCTTACAATATAAAAGCAGACGTAAGATGTCTGATGAAAAAGAAGATAGAAGTAAATAAATTTTTGTCAGTACTATGGTTAATTTAGCATAAAGTAACCATCAAATTTGTACCAGTTAATCAATGGAATGATAGAAAGTAGGGCAAAAGAGAATTGTTAGTCTTGTAATTGAAGCAGAAAACTCAAATAGATTAAAAAGTGAGAATCTGAAAAGAGATGTGGTGCAACGCGTGTGTAGCTTACAAGATATGTGAAAGAGCAGAGTGCAGTGAGAGAAAAGAGATCTTATTCCCGTAACAGTGGCTCTTAGCTTTTTCTTTTCTGCTCACACCTGCACGTATTTTGATCGAAGAAAAATCCGGTAGAACATTCTAATTCTTGTCTGCAGAAGCAAGCACACTGATTTGGATTCCAGATTTTCGTATTGTTGTTTTTATAACATTTCTCCTCTTCGTCGACGTTTTTGCACGAGCACATGCATTCGTCCGGTAAATAGGTCTGTTTCTCATTGCAGTCCTGAAAGAATTCGAACATTTTAAAATCTGAAATTGAAATTCCCTAATTTGCGCGCGACTAGTGTGCACTGTCGCGCCAGTCGTTAAAGTGTAGGCCGCGAACCGAATAATACCGGATTTAAAACGGAACATCCCAATTATCGACTGTTGTTAAATTACCTCCTTCTTAGTCTTGCAATCGCACACGCAACTCGTGTGTTCCTCCAACGGCACGATGCGCTTATCCACACGTCCAAACTCAACGATCGACGTCACGAACACCTTTAAACAATCACGATCTAATTATCGGGAGTAACGTTTGTTTGTCAACCACGACAATATTGACTAACCTCGAAATTTCGTGTTTCCGAGGCGGTTGGCTGACAGGAGAGCAACTCGTGGCTACAACAACCTCCGCATCTCATGATCCGCGTGCATGACGGGATGTAAATGGTGGACGGATCGTGTTCTTGTTTCAACGGGACTGTCTGTAATTCGGGCATACATTTGGCTAGCTGTGGTCTTTCGGCGTTCGAGCGTTCCTCAGGTCCGCCTATTCTAACTTAAAAAATATAAGACGATATTAAGGACAAGCGACGGTTCACGTTTCCGAATTAGTCAGAGGATTTCCTTTCGTTTCCCTTGAATTACTGTGACGTTCAGTTTATGTGTGGTTTCTGTGGTTTTACGTTGAAACATTGTCACTTGAAAACCGTCGTCGTACAATTTTGCCTCCGCTATTCTTTTTAGGCGATAGAACGGGATGAACAAGTACACGCAAGCTATTTCGTTCGCGAACAGCTATTTCGCTTTGGTCGACGGTCTCGTATCTGGTTTAGAAAGTCAACTCTCGGAGGATGTGGTACTTCATTGGTTCGGCAGGACGGTCAGAGGTAGGAGAAACGTATGCGCTTTCATGGAAACTCACAAAGTGAATTCTAGGCATATGTTCACACGGATCGTGCCGACCACTGGCATCAGTTACGAAAAAAAACACTCGAATCGGTAAGGTTAAGTAAAGACGAGGTCACAGATGCACGTTCAACGTGTGTATGTAAGGGGAATCCCTAAAATGGCGGATTATTTATGTAGGAAAGAAATTCGCTCGCGTCGCGATCGAAATAATCAGGAACTCTTGGAAATAGATAACAATACCGACAACGAGCAGACGTTTTTCCGTGAAACGGAAACCTCTTTGACGTGTCCAGACGTCATGAGGGATTTTAATCAGAACGAAATCGAGGTGAAAGATATGAACGTAACGGTCGACGACGCGTTTTACGATTTGAACGAGGGTGATCTCAGTAATCTTTTCAAGCTCGAGATCACGTCAACCAACATAGAGGAGATCGAGCAGAGCATTAATAGGATAAAATTGGAAGAGGAAATGACACCAACCATCACAGCTATCAAGAGAGAGTGCGGCGAAGGAGATGGACCTGACAACGTTGAAACTAGCGCGGTTAAGTACGTGGAGGCTGACGGTGAGATACAATTCTCGCGGAAATTTTGGAAACGAGGCAAGCGCCATTTTTCTTCGTACATTCTACGATTTGTTTTGATATTTCTACCGAATAGCACCGATGGCCGATCGAGACGAAATTTGGTGGGTATCGTGGAATGAGATGGTAGATCTGAAATATAAAATCTTAGCTTTGGGAAATCATGCGTTCGGAAAATACAGGCACCTGAATATATATAATAGCTCTTCGCTGTTATTAGGTTGGTTCATAATTTCGCGCGGTTTTTCCTTGTTTTTGAAATTTACGAACCAAATTTTTGCACTTTTCTCATTGTCTTTAAACGACGGAGCACTGTTTGACGAAAGCAGTGCATCTTCTCGACTAATTCACCAGGTTGATCGTCATTACAAAGCAGACCTTCCAAACCCTCTTCGTTGAACTAAAACGATCAATTTTGATCAAACGATGATTCATCATTTATGGGAAAATTTCCCTCCTGGAATCGTGAAAACTACTTTTCTGCTGTTCTGTTACTAACGTAATCTTTCTCGTAGGCGGTACAAACATTATGGGCAGCTTCAGCAACTTTAGATCTCGTTAGATTAAACTCGTAAAGTAAAATTTGTCGGAGATGCTCATTTTTGTTAGACATTCCATCATTTTTGAAGAAAAAACTGTTTATTATTTGCACAGAACGAAGAAAAAAAGTATCACACAGCTGATAGGCAAATGTTGCGAATTTCAGTCAATACGAAATGAAAATCGCACGAACTTATGGAGACCTAACCTAATATCAGGTGCTTCGTTCAGCATTTTCGACGAAATTACGAAATTACTCCGTGACCTAACCTAACCTGAGCTCATTTGCCTTTCTTTTCCCTATTCTGATAACGAGTAATGGCAATAGCTCGATATTCGACCCCTCATGATCTTCTTGGAAATTTTCGTTTCGTAAACATATCCATAGTCGCCTTTATCTTCGGTCCAAAGACCGAAAACGTCGGTAAGCGAGGAAAAACGAAGGCATATTAATCGCAGTCGGTAAAACGACCGGTTACGAAATGAAGATGATATTTTTCCGGAAGGAATATAGATGATTGTCAATTTAATATAGGAAACAACGCAGAAAATAGCCTCTAGATAATAATGAAAAAATATTACATATCAAATTTTAAAACCGGTCATTTAATCGGGCGTGGTACGATTAGTGTTAAAAAATACCGCGACGTGAAATTCGTATTGACCTGGTGACAGTGTTTCCTAACCCAAGCCAATACCGATACTCCTCTTTAACCCTTTGGACTCCTTTGTCGAGCGTGACTCGACGTCAGTTTTATTCACAGGTATGAACGAAGTAATTTTTAAATTGTGTTATAATATTTTGCAATATTTTTTTTTACCTGAATGAGCAATAGGTACACGTACACACTACCGGTCAAAAGTTTGGGATCCACTGTGCATTGCAAGTTAGATAAAAATTTCCAGAAAAAAGTTAGCAATTTTAAGAACTTTCTAACGAATTTTTTTTTAATTTAAATTAATCGTCATGGGGTAAATTGCTATTGATCTCTTCAACATCGTTTCAAATCTATAAAAAATCAGCAGCAGATTCAATATTGGCGTAAATTGATAAGTGATTCCAAATTTTTGGCCGGTGGTGCGTATGACCCTTAACCCCTTAACCTATGATTTCTTTTCTGACTGTGCATCTAAGCGTCGGCCATTTACTGCTTCAGTACTGTATCTGGTGACGAAAGCTAATCTGTTACAGATTAGTTACATTTAGGAATCCTTGATCTTACACATTCAAACGAAAGTTAGGATAATATAACTATTTTTCTCACATCTTCACCAGAATCTCTGCCGCGAGTCTGACACGTTGCCATATGTTAAGGGGTTAATGCTATTTTCAATATAATTAGTAAAAAAAATTGTTTCAGTTCCTTCCAAGTGCGTTTCAAATAAAATTTTTAAAATGATAGGGAGTTGTTGAAAAGAAAATGAAAAAAAAAAATTTCGAGCTCAAATGGTTAAAAGGAGTTGGTCGTTCTTTTCGCCACATGCCTGATTCGTACTCACGTTATTATACTAATTACCGAAGAGTGTGTCTGATAGCAGTGAAGATTTATTATACAAAGGGACCTGTATTGGCTGCGTAACAGTATTTGGGCCAACGTTTATTGGATCGTATGCTACATCGTTGGAAAGTTTACGAGTAGAGGAGTCCAACATAGGAGGTTCTTACTACCGTAAACGTCCCATTCAGAAAATATGAATTAAAATGTGTAAATCCGGGATTAGCGTGGAAATCGATCTAACCCAAACCTACCTCAGTCTGATAACGTACTCTTGTACACACCGATACTACGGTAATATTACGAACACACGATTAGTCGTGTAAAGACACGTCTCAATTCACGCCTAAATGTACGTAACGACTAGACTGCGGATTTTTATGCAAATTCATATTTTCATCGATGTAATTGAAAAAATGGAAGCTAGATAGTTAATTGTTTTATTCGCTAAATATCATAACGAGTACTATATTTTGGGATTATTCGTATCCCCAAATTTTCCATAAATGCATCAAAATCCGCAGTCTGGTAATGACAAATGTACTTGAAAGAATGTATTTTTTTCACCGTATCCTAATTTGATTTATATTTTCATTCTATTCACACGCTTTGCAACGATGTAGAGGAGGTCTAAATACGGGCTAGCTTTTGTATTTCAGGATTCATCGTCGAACCTGTGGACGATATTTAAGGTACAACGCTTGGATATGTATGAACATGTTTACCATACGACGTGAAATAAAAATAACCTAAGAGAAGCAACGTGTGTTGCAAATTATGCATTTCAAATAAAAGGGAAAATGTTCATTTTTAGAAAGGTGGTCTAAACACGGGCCACTCGTGAAATAATCGAAATGAAAAGTAACAACTGCACATTTTCAGGTTGAAATATTTAAAGACATGTTGGAAATGTAGATAAGCTTTAATTTAAATGCTATTTACAGTCACGAACGTATATATTTTTTTCAAGATTTTATATATCTTTTTAACGTTTTTGGTATTTTTCTTATCGCCGAATTTTAATATTTACGCATAATTCCCAGAAGCTAAGATTGTATATTTCAGATTTAAGTGCCATCTTATCTCACGATACCCACCAAATTTCGTCTCGATCGACCAGCAATGCTTTTCAAATACATCCACTAACTTCAGTGTATCATTCTTTTGAAACGATCACGTTTTTCTGCCATTGAAAAATTCCAACCATCGTATCACTGTCTCTAATTAAGATAGCGGCACAAGCCAAAAGCTACTTCACTCGTTATTCGAAGACGAACCCAACGCACTCCTCAAATTATTCACAAGGTGATCGGGGGTGTACATACCGGGTGGTTCGGAAAGTTCGTAACGAAATTTCTGAAGAATTCAAACTGATATATCTCTGTTTCTAGTCGAGATAGCGACAAAAACCGGAAGGTATTTTACTGAAATTACTCCCAAGGCGAACTATATTTTCCGCGGTGGAGCGTTGCCACGAAAATTTCAATATCCACGCTCCACTGTAAAAAATATAATTCGACTTCTATCCACCCCTGCTCATCTTACGAATAATTTCAGTAGTGCGTTTAATTCACCTTTAAGCATTAAAAAAAACAAACACCGTTCAACTTTTATCGCTGTAACAATTAAAAACAGAGCTACGACGGTTGAAATTTCGCCAAGAACTTTACCAAAAGCCTCATTCGAGTGAATGTAACAAGAATAGCAGGTAAAAACCGTGTAACAGGTATTTCTGTTTGAATTTTCGATCGCAGATGCATGGAACGCGTATTTCTCGGCCACGACCAACGTTCACACATGGAGGCGACCGTGTAAATTGCAAATCGCTTACACCACTTCAACCGAGCGTCCACACTTGGTCTCACCTTGCGAAAGCAGAAAAGTCGCGGCTCAATTTGAACAGCCTAAGGCCAGGCTGCCTAGTTTAGAGGAGATCAATGAAATCAGCAATCGACTGATACCAAATACCAACTATTTCGGCGGTTACCTCTATCACGTGGATCTCTTGAAGGAACTGAGGACCGATATCGGTACGAACTTGATCGCACGGAGCAATCTAAACGAGAGGATCGTCTTGGAGAAGCCGTGCGTCTGTTTGGACGATTCTAACGGCAAGAATAAGAAACGGTTCATCTTCAATTATCAGATACGTCTGATCATATACGAGGGTAGAAACGAACGGAACGCGAATCTTCCGCAGGAATTTTAGAGAATGCAATTCTGAGGGAGAGAAATTTCTTTGAAATACGACAGATCATTCTTTTCTCTTTCCTTTTCTGGTAAATAGTATCGGGAAGTTGATCTTTCCGAGAGTCAACCCTTTGCACTCGAAGGCCCTTTTTTTCTACGAGGAAGTGGCAAAAATTAATGTAATTTTTTAAAAGTGATATTTTTATCAGAAGTTGGTTCTTTCGAACTACTTCACTGCTGAGATCTCTAAACGGAGGTCCATGGACCTGCTGTTTTGGAAAATATCCTTAGAGTTGCCTCTGTAATGTCGCTTCTTAGTCGCCTGAAAGGGTGCAAAGGGTTAATTCACTTTTCCAAGAGATATTAGTTAACGTTAGACTAATCGTTTTTTTTTTTTTTTTATTAATTGGTTCTTTCGAACTACTTCACTGCTGAGATTTCTAAACGGAGGTCCATGGACCTGCTGTTTTGGAAAATATCCTTAGAGTTGCCTCTGTAATGTCGCTTTTTAGTCGCCTGAAAGGGTGCAAAGGGTTAATTCACATTTCCAAGAGATATTAGTTAACGTTAGACTAATCGTTTTTTTTTTTTTTATTTTATTTTGCATCTCTGATTTTTGTAAAATCGTCAAGTTTCCGTTTCTCGTTTCTAGCCAGTGGTATCGGGAAGTTGATCTTCCCGAGAGTTAATTCACTTTTCCAAGAGATAATAATTCTTTTTTATTTCTGATTTTTGTAAAATCGTTAAGTTGAAAGTCGTTCTTTTTCTGGAACGCCAGGTATCTGTGATACTTGTGAAATTCTTAGAAAATTAAGTGGCCAATTGTACGTATTTACTGATTAAAATATCGAAATTTGTCAACGTGTACGCATACACGCGATATTTTTCTGCGTTGCGATTAACCGAATGATCTCACGTTCACCGATAAACCAGTTTGAACAACGAAATTACCGGGGAGAAACCGTCAGGATTAATTGGTTTATCTAGCTGAACGATATTTACGGCGCGTTTACCTGTAATACGATTTAATTGCTTGTACATCCAGAGATTTACGAAGGCAGAGCCTCTTAACCTACGTCGCGGTATTTTCTTTCCTTCGTTATTATGCAATTCTTCGTTTATTTTCTATGGAATAAAGTGCAATTATCGGCGTTGTACACACGCTACGAGTCAACCGGTTTTTCTTTCGCGTATCAGCTCTTAGTTATTATTTTTCCACGTGGATATTGCGCGTTGATTAGTTACACGTACTTACCGTCAATTGCAAAGGGCTGCTTTTCCGTGTAGCCGAACAGTTTGAGCATTTCGTCGACCGAATCGGCGTTATTCAACATCCTGGCTACGTTCAAGGATTTCTGTGAACAATCGAACATTTTCGATGGTGAGATCAGATTTTCTGGAAAATTCTGCGCTTATCTGTGATTAGTCGGCTATCTAATCGATCATATGTCAATAAATTGGTTCGGGCGGCGGTGGATGTTTTATCGTCGGATTTACGCGTTATTTTGTGGATTTACCGTTGTTCGTATGTCATTAGGACATTTGTCTGGATGTTGAGTGAAATTGGAGGATTATTTGAAAATTATCCTGCTGGGAATTTTGTAATATATTTGTGCTGATATGCGGTGCTGTGTCTGGCGAAGAAATGTAATTTAACCCTTTGGTTGTGGGGTATTTGGGGTTATTTATCCCTTTTTTATAGGGAAGAGGACAATGAAGAATAGAAAATTTTGTAAATTTCAGTCGACTCTTTGTATTCAAACTCTCGTGGTTTTGATAATTTAGCCAGTTTCGAAGAATCGTTTGAGAGACATATTTTTCATACTATTATATAAGTAGTGGAAAATGCAAAAATAATATTGATTTTGTCGATCTTGGAAATTAGAATAATAGTTGTGCTAAATTTATTTTTATAACACAGTGATTTAACCATTTCACTGTTGTTGGCGCTTTGAAAATTTGCTCGCGCTGTTGTCTTGCCGCCTATAGGCAGTTTCAATATCTTCTCGCGTTGTGACCTTGGGGTCTATAGACATTTTCGATATTTTCTCGCGTTGTGCACTTGGCGCCTTTTTTTTATAATTTAATTTCTGATTTTTGCACTTGCGCACCTGGCGCACTTCCATCTTAATTTAATATAAGAAATTTACAAAACGATCAATTTTTTATTTGAGCTTCTAAGAATTTCTAAATTTTTAATTTGAATTTCTAAATTTAAAAAAAAATTTAGAACCCCGAAACGAAAGATTTCGCGGTCACGATTGACCGACCATCTGTCGTCTAGCACGCGCGTCACACTCTAAAATCTTCCCCAGCGAAAGGGTTAAGAAATAAAATTTCAATTTGAATTTCTAAATTTTAGAAAAATTTTAAAACCCCGAAACGAAAGAATTCGCGGCCACGATTGACCATCTGTCGCTTCCCGCGCGCATTGGCGAAAGGGTTAAGAAATAAAATTTCCAAAGTAAAAACAGATATCTGCAATTAAGGGTTAAATCGCACATTAATTCTTGTACAAACGTACCGGGTGTCCTAATACTCACGAACAGTCTATATACCTGATAACCGAAATTACGAAAAAACCGATATATACCTGAAACGAAGAAAATTGCACGGAAGAACGTGTCGAACAGTCGCATTTTAACATATTACTTCGTCGAGGAATTCCAACGTTTTGTCACGCGTGTCGCGAGGATACACCTATTCCGATGTTTCATCGCGCATTGTTCTCACCCGATGTGTGACCAGGACCTTTTCGCATCGCGACGGTGTCGAAAACAACTAACCCAACGGTCGTCGAAATCGTTGCATCGTATCGGGTCGAATCGAATACAGGTTTGTTTGGAGAAACGAAGAAAATTCTGCCGCAATTCTCGGGTATTCCCGGTACATAATTATTTCTCGAACGTGAGTCATGTACGCGCTTCGTTCGCGTATCATCGGCGCTGCGACTGCAGCGAAGAATCGCAGGCATGACAGCAGGTCAATCATCCGGGAAACTATTAAAAAAGTCGCTGGTTTCGCGACATGCTATATTTAGAACGGCTGTTAAGAAGGATTTTTATGCAAGGGTCACTGGTACACGGAGTCCAGTCGTTTTTCACCATCTCGCGCGTTCGTCTTTCAGCGTGGAACTGGTTTTTGAACAAGGTACTATCGCGCTCAGGCACAGAAAAACGAGCAAACGCCGTACCGATTTCTAAGAAGCATCCTCTCGATGTTAATGTACCGGCTCGATAGTCACTCGATTAACTGCTCTCTTCTTTTCTTTTCGAAAATGTTTTTCATATGGTGATAAATTTCTCTTGTGCGTGTTCGTGTGTTTCTATATCGTGCCATTTTTGTACACGGAGAATTCTACGTCAGCTTAAATATTACTACAGGTGTGTGATAAAGATTCGGTTACGGTACAGCTAGTGTTCTAACGTACAGATTACGAGACCTCTTAATTTGCATAATTAAGAAACGTATTGCTCGGAGATGTTTCCGAGAAACAGTGATTTCTTGGCTCTGGAATTTTGCCGCGACTTTTAAAGGTCGTTTAACGCAACCGGCGCTAACCTATTTTTATACAGTGTAACCCTGTTCCAACGTTGAAATATGCACGATAAGTGTACACGCGGTGATAACGTTATACAGGATGGGTCATTTGAAACAGACCAGCCAGAAATTACCTTTCTCTAGCTACAGTGGTACGAGACAATTTTTATACGTAAGTTAAATGGCTTCAAAGTGTGAATAAAAGACTGATGTGCATTTATTCTGCATTATAAATGCGTAATAATATGCAATATCTGCATAATATGTGCATTTGTTCATAGAATCGCCGTGAGCTAAAATTTATTGCAACCTTATCGAAGGAATACACGTTCGACATTGTAACGTACGCATGTTTCTTGTTAATGCTAACCTAAATTTCTCTTTTCCTTTCGGCCGTGAATTAATCGGCGAGAATGTTGAATTAAATTCGAATAACGATATGTTTCATCTGTTTTGCAATTTAGAGAATAGGCACGACTTTCCGTAACACATCTAACATCTCCAAGTGATAATCACCGATTTTAACGAAACTTTGGTATATAGCAGTTCTCAAATTACTATTCAACGCGTATTTCTTTAAATCGACAATCGTTCACATCGAAGAGATGAAAATCGCCCTCAAATTTTCAAGATTGGAGACAGTAAAATAATATCTCGAAAACTATTAAAAACAGAGGAGTACTATAAAGTGACGAATTTTGTCTTTTTCAACGACAAATTTAAAAAATAAATAATTTTCACAATATCTGCTCGTTATCTTCAATCTTCGACTGCGATTTTCACTCCTTCAACGTGGGCGATTGCCAATAAAAAAAAATGAGTCAAACATTTTTTCAAATACTACCATACACCAAAGTTTCATAGATATCGGCTCGCAGGATAATCCGCGAGGTATTCCCGCGTACGTGAAGTGACGTGTGATCAATTACTTATATATATCGAACCACGAACACCGTGACGAGCATTCTGAGAGTATCAAGCAGGTTTTCTGCTACTTCAAACGCGATCATATGCATCCTTGACATTAGTGTTATTCGGCCTTCGACGTCATCCAGGTCTTTACGGAAAGAACGAGCGTGCTCCCGTTCACGAGCGTGTCGTAACGCCGCTGTATCGTCGACAAAAGGAACTGTGCCACCTTCGTTGTTGCTTACGTTAACGAGGTGAGGCTAATGAAAAGAATTACAGAACAGTAACAACACCGAAGCGAATTACCCACTTCCGTAGTCAATTGAACATTGATAACACCCGTTTCACAGGTTAAAATTATACCTCAACCGACGATTCCTCGAATTTTTCCCCGATCGAACACATTCACGTTTCGGACTTGTTGCATATTTCTTTTTCTCGCTGCCTGTTGCACACGATACGATTGGATCCGACTGGCTAAACTTCACACCAGCTGTCACACATTCACCACGTTACAAATCTCTCACAATGCTCCATCGTGACAACGTAATTACGCTATTTATCAAAGTGAAAACGTACGAGTGTTGCAATAAGCTATAGAACGGGATCGTTTTATTCAATAGAGAAAGAGAGAGAGAGTGTGTAAAAGTGAGACGCAGCAACGCGCCTTCGTTCGAATCGTTTTACCGATAATTCATTTACCATTTCGACGTCTCTATCGCGGCTCTGCGCAGGCTGAACAGGAGGAACCGCTGGTTTCGTGGCTTTACTCCTGTCGTTGATAGGTCCAGGAAAAACTATACCGTCAGAGTCACCGTGGAACTTGGTATCTTGAGCAACTGCTGCTAATGTGCAAAGAATCACAAGAGCAATGGTTTTCTGAACGATCAGGCGCGGCGGCATTTTCTGTAAAGTTCAGAACAACAGTCACTTCTGTCAAAATGTTCACCAACAGAGAGAGAGAGAGAGAGAGAGAGAGAAAGAGAGAGAGAGAGAGAAAAGAGAAAGATCAATGAACTGGTTTAATATTGAACCGCGAACTTCCGATATCGCGTTTTGTTGTTGAACGTACTCTCTCAGATATCGTTGCGATTAATCCGTAATTACAGTGGAATATGACTGTCACACGTGTTTACTAGAGAGACCGTCTCGGTGTTTGTATTATACTCGATGCACAAGGTAAAGGAACAGGAACGTGACACCTGAGCAGGTTCGTCTGGTCGCGCGGCGATCGACTGCCGAAGTGAATACGTCCGGACGCGTATTTCTGCTCACACACACGCGAGCCCGGCACACGTACGAATCGCAATAGGCACACGACTTCGCCGTGATACGCGGTGCCACTCCTTTTCCTTTCTTTTTGTCTTTTCACCAGTGATTACACACTTGATCGTTATCAGAACGAAAGTGTTTTTAATGGCGGTGTTATTTTACCTTCGAAACGAAGATGTTTCGCTCTTCCTTCTATTTTCTCTTTTCTATTTTTTTTCCCTTCGATTACCTGATCTGTCGTATTGAATTGTAGCGTCGTCGAAACGATTGATAATGTTCTTTACGCAACGCGTGCAATAGTTCTGATACGGTTGATTCATCCGTTGATATACAAGTAGCCTAGCTCCGGCTTGACAGATTTTCACGATTACGGGATTAATTAAGCGTGTGGGTGGACGAATTTGCATGTAGAATTGAGGTATTCAGCGGATTGCCCTGGATAACGAAGTTGTTCAAGGTGGCAGTTTAATACTGGTCAGGATTCATGTGGAGAATAAGTTTGCCAAGTGTGTTTCTTATACTTTTTCGTTTATTGTTAATTCGAGGTCTTCTTAAACAGTAAGTCTTTCTTTAGATAGAGGTAATTTTACGGCTACTGTTTCAGTGAGAGTGAAAGATTGTGAAATTAATATAGTACTTTAGTCGGTGTTATCATTCAGAGAATCATTTAACGGTCTAACAATTTTCAAATAACTGTACTTAGATGCTTCAACCATGCTCTCAACTTGTTGAAGCGTTCCATGAATCATAAGCTTTTGAGTGCCAGGGATTCCACGTATGTGACATAGTATCCTTATACTGTTACGTTGTACGATGCAGGAATTATTTTTGTTTTTATGCTACATCCTAGAACATACAATCACAAGCTTGTAATTAGTAATGATTCAGAGATATTAAATTTATTTTATCTACTTACTGTGTCACGTCAGTGATAATAATATCAATTTTCAGCTATCAACGATATAATTGTAATTATATTTCAATTTTTTAACAATACGTATCATTGGCGTTTTTATTTCGGATAGACGCTCTCATATTTTTTACACTGGCCATGATGCACAACGTATTTGAAATAATAAATAGGTTAAGTATCTGATAGAATTACCTTCCTAATCGAGTTATCGATAAATTTAATCGCTTTCACCGCAATATTATTTTCATAACTTCCTGTGATTAATTCATAATCTCCAAATAATCTTCTCGCTAAGAAAAAATCGATTTTATTCTCGTGAATTCAAGCTCTGGAAATAGCCATTTCCTGAGTATCGGAACGAAAATCTCGATAGATCGATACGCATATGCGGTGCATTTTTAACGCGCGGTTAATTTGAACGTGAATTGCACAGGATCAAAACAGGGATAGTATTAAGAAAAAATAAAAAGAAGAGTTAAGATTTCTGTAGATGAATCGTCATTTATTTTAAACGTGGTGAATCGTAGTTATATACAATTGTATAATAAAAAGAATTCAATCAAACCAATTATACATTCTGAAATATACCGATACGGATTATGATTAGCTGTTTAAGAATCGTCAGGAGGCTTCTTATCCAAAGTTCACTGAAACAAGATAAAAATACGATACAGATTCGCGAGTGAATTTCTTTCGAGAACGTTTACGTACGAATTTGTTGTCGATAAGTTACCATGTATCTCGACTTCATCTCTATGACTTTTCTGCAACCCACGTTACGAATGTATCTGTACCCCGGTGGACAACGCTTCGCAGGGTTCTTTCTTTGCGGGAAAGTCACAGGCCTGGCTACACTTGTCACGATGAATACGCACAGAAAAAGTGCGAGGATAATGAAACGCAGTGGCGCCATAGCGTACGACTTCGGTTCACTTCTCTCGGTCGAATTCTTTTCTCCTTTTTTCCGAAGCTGTACCGACGGTGTTGAGGCAGAAATCGAAAACTGGCGTAAAGGACAACGAAGATACGTGCAATATACTCCTTTTTACCACGATTCCCCTCTCCCTTTCCGTCCGATTTGTACTAATTTGCGGTTACTGTTCGTATCCTGTTCACGCACAATGCGGTTTTTATTTGATAATTACGCGCGATACCTTTGAGTTATCGTGAAATAGTCATTAACTAGCGCGTTTATACGCATTTCCGATTGTAGTCGACGAACAAACGAGAAATCAAGAATACGTTGTATAAAAATTTCTCACGATAGATTGTAACGCATCGAGAAATAAATTAGACCTAACTCTATTTACAATAATTCATAGCATTTCAATCATCGTCTGTGATTCTACGAACTGTTGCCAACAGGTGGTTGCACACACGTGAAGAATACTTTACCCTATGCAGCTTGCCTATCTGTACCTGTTAAGCCAGATTTCGCAACGTCTTACCGACACGAATACTTCAAATTTCTGCAAGCGATTATTGTTGCCAACAGGTGGTTGCAACACACGTGAAGAATACTTTACCCTATGCAGCTTGCCTATCTGTACTTGTTAAGCCAGATTTCGCAACGTCTTACCGACACGAATACTTCAAATTTCTGCAAGCGATTATTATTGGTCAACGTTTAGAACATAAAAGGAATGATTTATACGCAGGCAAAATAAAAAAAAAAACCGTTTCTTCATTTTCTAAGAACGCTTATTTATTTACGGAAATTTTCGTCAAATTACGAGCGAACGATAAAGCAATTTCCTTCCTCCGATAATCTTGCGCAAGTCTGATAATCTCTCACTTTTCGAGACCGTTCCGAGACTGTTTACTTTTTTTTCTCCTCGATATCAAACGTCTCCTATTTCCTATTCTATCTTTCACTATCTCAGTTTCTTTCACACTTTTTCATAAACATTCGTCTCCTCTTGCCACCTTGCTCGCTGGGTAATCCCTTTGGCCGTACTTCCTTACCGACGGCGCGCTCGACAAAGAAGAATCCTGCAGCATATCGATGCGTGTTCGACTCGAGAATCCTTTGTCGTTACGCCTAATTACACACTGGTAACGATCGATCGGTGGTACCACGATTAACTTAGCCTCTGCAACAACAAACAAAACGGGAAAAAAGGAATAAATCGGTGGAGAAACAGAAGCGAAGAAACACGGGGAATTACTTATCGTAGCCTCACTTAAAATCGATCGCTATCTCTCGACAGCGATTCACGTTATCGGCAAGTTTATCGCGCGATTTCACAACTTTGCCCCGGTTTTTCATTCAACTCTGTACACATTACGATTACTCAACCGTAGAATTAGACGATTCGACGTGTTCACGGAACACAGCCGAAATTTCGTCCAACGAAATCACTTACAATTAGTAGACAGCTCTGCATCGAGTGCCGATTCTCATTTTGCCCGGCGGGCAATTAAGCGGCACGTTGATGAACGATCCTTTATCGACTCTGCTCGTGTTGAACGATCCTTCCTCGACTCTGTTCGTGTTGAACTCTACGAATCGTTTCAGTCCCTTCGACGTCGTGAAATTCCCGTCCGTGCACAGAAGCAACGTGAACATTGTCGCCACCACGAGCCACAAAATCTTCATCTCGACCGGAATGATCTAGCCCTTCCGAAATCTTCTTCCTTCGCTTCGTAGACGATTCTCGCGATCGTACCGTCACCGACGTACACGCTCGACCGTTCGAAACGGCGGACTGGTCGCGTTCAGGAGAGATAGCGACACTCGGAATGTCAGAGAAAACACGTCACGAACGTTTCCACACTATCCGGTAAGAAGAATTTTTCGTTTAGCTGGAAGTTACACGTGCTCGATCGCAGTTTTCACCGAGCCTCCGCTCGCATTCCAATTTCCACTGTCCCGACTACGCGCTCGCATTTCTCGCGTCTGAACAGAAACACGCGGTGTGCACCTCGGAGAGGCGGAAATTCCGTTGGATTAAGCAACAACCTTGTCCACCGGCGATGAGAAACAGTTTTATTTAGAAGGACGCGTGTGTCGATATTAATAAAAGAGAGCCGTGCGCGTCATACTCGATGGATATTTCTGGATAGCGTCAGCGGAGAAAGAGAAACTACGCGAGGTATCGTTTCCACGTATATTATCTGATCGATTTTCAATACGAAGATAACACAGGTTTATCCCATGATAAGCTTGCTCGTCCGCTCTTCACCATCGAGTATACACAGACTCTTCTTCTTCACCAGATCTTTCTGCATCTGCCACGAAAATCAACTCGTTCTCCATACGGGCAGCGTATCGTTCGATAAGGTGCCCGTATCATTACATTACAGAGCAGCGTGATGTTAGGCGAGTCGTCGTTGGAAGAGACGGATTTCCAGTCATTGAACATCTCATCCGCGGTCTGATCCTGCGCGATTATCGCGTGAATCAGGAGGAACAGGATCACCGTGCAACACACTCTCATCGTTTTCCCGCGGGGATTCGCCAACTACTCGCGAAAGCACATTCTCTAGATTTTCGAGGAGGAAAGCAACGATTCGAAGGAGGAGAATTGTAGAATCGCGTGTTCGCGACGAGTCTCTCGGCTCGCAACTACGTTTTCGTCCGCTCGAACGCCGCGTTTTGTCTTCGTCGAGTCGCGATAACCTTCCATGACACTTTTCGAGAGTCGACTGAAAAGACAGCACCGCGTGATTTTTACTCCGAGAGTGCAACGTACGTTCGTGAGATGGAAGTCAGATAAGCCGGTGACATCGTCAATCGGCAGCGAGATCGATCAAATTTTCCATCGGCTTTCGTTGCGTAACTCGCGACCGTTCGACTGTGTTAGATCGTGGAGGAAAAGGGTATTGAGCGTTTCGTTCGTACCGATAACCTTCGACGACGATTTCTCTCAGATTTGTATTTTTTTCTGAGATTTTTCGTTCTGCCGGTGGCAAGTGTTTGCGTACGAAGCGCTTTGTAATCGCGTTTCTGTTGCGTATTGGGACGAAGTTCGAAAATCGGCGACTTAGCGGTGGAATACGTGTTGGAGAATTATTTTTCTGGATGATTAGAAGGAACGGATGG